CAGCTGTCAGAATCAGCTTCGACTGCGAATCCTTTCGTTTCATTGCCAACAACTTCAATGGAGCAGCAGCAACCGACGCTAGCAGCATCGTCGTCATCATTACCATCATCATCGTATTTTGTTTCTGCAGGTTTTCTACCCCTCGATTGATCTCCGCGGTGAAAGAAGAGACAATGCAAAATGAAAACCCAAAAAAGCGCACTGGCGGTGGCGCTCCGCGGAGCCAGCATCGTCATTATAACAACGACGAAGTTCCCTCAGTTTGTCTATTTCAATTGGCTGCATTTGGTATCGGTGACGATGCGCTGTTTCTGTTACATCAACGTTCCGTTAAATTCGTTTTGCTTCCAAATTGACGGCCTTCTCTTCGATAGGAAATCGGCGACATCGATGCAGCCCTGCCGCTGGCTCAAAGTCAACTTCAGCTTTTTTGAACCTTCGACGCTGATTATAGATAATATCATCATCATCGTCGTCGTCGTCATGAAGCCATCATGAAAATCAATAGTGGTAGTATCATCCAAAAGTGAGGGAGGAACAGGTAGGTCGACGGGATGAAGTTTCACGCAACGGGACTCGACTGAAATCGACTTCTTCATTTAGCCTATCATGCACACTTCGCATTAGCTCTTCCTTAGATGCGTGATGCTTCGAAGAAAAATACTTCACAGGATTCGTTTCGTCCTCTAGAGTGTTCTCTATATCGTGCTTTGCGAACTGGATGAATAATGGCAGCGTTTTGTGCTCCGCTACATCCAGTACCAATCCCGGTGAGACCGTCCCTCATTGCAAACGGGCGTTAATTTTGTGTATTTGTCCTCGCTGAATTGAGAGATAATATCGAAATTATAGGAAAAACAGACACGTATTATACAGCCATAGGCGAGAACAGAAATACAGGCTCCATGAAATGTTTGCATTTGTTGAAGGTTGATACATATACAAAGGGTCTCACACACACCCCTTCTGGTGTATACAGAAGAATCTGAGGACTGGGGCAAAATTCTAGCATTTCCGCTGATAATGTCTTCTGTTGATTTTCCAACGTAGCTGCTTGTTCGCTTGCGCCGGCAGCGATGTGCAGCAAATGTGATACTGAGTTCTCAAAAAACGGCCCGCTATAATGTCCTACCATAATTTTACAACGTTAAAACGAATATAAAAGTAGATATTCCAGGACGTCAGAAATAATAACATATCAAAACATATGCATAACCCTCGTTTTCCACCATCATAATCACCGTAGTACACAGCAGGTGTTGGCATGTAGCATCAATTAATCCTTTTTTAACAAAGGCTAACAAGTATTTGACAAAGACGTTCTTGTCTGAATAAGCATCAATACGGCCCTATTCAACGCCCCAGCTAAATACCTATACCTACCTTGTATAATACTACATGTGGAAGGTATCACCCTCAAAGGTAAACCTTGCTTGTTTTATAGGATCGAGAGCCTGCATTCGATCATTTCCCTTAACATTGCTACACTTAGATCCAAACTACACCCACAAAGGCTCTATATATTACGGTATTCCTTTATTGCGCACGGTCGACAGATAAGGCCCTCTATTACTCTACAATAGCTTTAAGACGTAGGCGACAATAACTGCAACTGGAGCCCCTTTGTGGGGTAAACAGGAGAGACGGACAAAGTTCTTCAGGTTGCCGAACATCAGCATATTGGCATGAAAGCGGCTAAATACTCGTTGTCGACTCGCAGTCGGTTGCTCGCAGTCGAAAACTCGCTTTCGACCATAAAACGTGTCCTGTTTTGTAGCGACATGAGCTTTGAGTAGAACATAAAGGCATCATCTTTTCTTTGCCTTTTTGTAGATCGTAGTGTATTGTTAAATGAAGTCTACAGATCACTACACGATTAATACGATCTGTGTATTAATCAGTCTCCGCAATAGAGCAGTGGTAAGTTTTTTTTTACAAAACGTTACGTTTTTTTGAACATCTAAAGTGATCTGATTTCAGTATCCGGTGGATATGTTTCGTTTCGCAGTGCAGCAATGCTTACCGCACGTACAACCGTAGAGCAAAGCTGATTTGGATAAAATAAAACAGAATGTTTTTTGCCAGATGCTGAAACGCATCGATGTACTTCACTTGTTCTTATGTATCATACAGGCAGGTAAGCTACAGCGAAAGGACAAGTTAAAGGCGACATACCTGTGTTAAAACGGAACGAAAGTCAACGACGTATATCAATATAAATACGAAAACATTTAGAGTAATCTACCACCTATCGATGATTTACTGCCATCATCGTATAAAGTGTTTCTACCATATAACTATTGGCCTCTTACTGCGAACGTCCGTCAGTATCGAATTTAATCATGCTTATGATGAGGGCACCTTCGAGACTGACCGCCGCTAAACGTCTGCGACTCCAATACACCGCTAAGGCCATGATGCAGACACTAACGTCGTTATTTTACTTGGCTAAATATATTTTGTGTTAATACGGTAAGTAATTTTGTAAATTTTTTCTGTCACCACAGATATTCACGGTAGTGTATTTCATTTATATGTACTACTACGTATGCTTAAATATAGGCCGTAGCTATGTAGCACCTAGAATTTGTGTATGCAATAACAAAAAGGACATAATGGGCGGCAACTGCAGCAGCAGCCCAAGACGGAAGTAACATTTACGGCAGCTCTCTTGGGCGCCGTTTTTTCTTCAGAACATCCTTTCTATTGGAACAAGTGCCAGATCCGTAGATCAGACTGGCAGTGGTCAACGACAATTTGAAATTGAATATATATATATATTGTCAAAATTTGCGTCAACTTCAAATTGTCGTTGACCATTGCCAGTATATATATATATATATATATATATGTATATTGTCAAAATACCCATAAATGTGTAGATATCCAATGTGGACAAATTATCGCTGATATCAGATGTTCGGACGTGCGATAAAGCTCGCCGCTGATCATCGCCATGAATTCATTAAGTGATCGGACGAACGGAACATGACGGATTATTGTCCGTGTCGTCGATAGATTAATCGCCGACGCGATCATCTCGTCTCAGTCAGACCCAGAGCTCATAGCGAACAAACAGCTCCGGTCTAATCATCACAAATATCCGCTCTACTGTTCTTCTTCGTCGTCCCAATCTTGTCCTGCTCATCTGCTATGCTACTCAATCTTCTTTGTTCCGGCGGCTGCTGCTGTTTCTTTTATGCATATTATCAGAAACAGTTGTCGTTACTGCTTGGTATCTGGACCACTGAATCCAGTAGCGGGGGCGGTGGAATCGACATTAAACGAAAAACATTCGCTGCTGGCGACGCCATAGACACCGCTCAAGAACGTTATTCCCATCGCAGAGCTTCTATGAACCAAACGTTACAACATCATACATCGCGCGTAGTCGGGTGCGCGAACGAGCTCAAAGAAGCAGGGTATGACAAGCCAAACAGCAGGCACGACTGTTGCCATTGCTAGTGACGACGTTATGGCTACCAGCATCGACAACAACAATGGTGGCATCAGTGGAAAGGGCGACTTCGACAAACATAGGATAGACGCGTGCCCAAGTCAAGCCAGACAAGAGCAACGATACCGTACAACATATTTGTGCGTACAGATGTTTAATAGAAGAACTCCGCGCCATCACTAAGGCAAAGGCGGAAAGTGAGCGTGCACCGTATATCACTGCGGCGCGGACGTACAGCAGTCAACACAGTAGACCATCTATCTGAGCAGCGTCTAATCCGTCTGAGCTAACTGGCTACAGATACAACCGACAGCAGAGGAAGGAAAAGAGGGAGGAGGAAATAATCAGGGAGGATACCGTAGACGTAATGGTACATAGTGGATGGGTGGAGAGTCGATGATTTGCAAATGATTGTTTGCGGCCGTACAGCGACGAAACTACAGAAATGCGACAGAGCATTGCTTCTGCTCGAGGTCTGCCGACGTCAAAGCACGTGCACACATCGCGTGCATTTGTATGCACAACGAACGCATGCTGTTGTCGCAGCGGTTCCGCAACACGCTAGATTCGAGCGTACACTTCACCACAGAACGCTGCACGTCATGTAGCGGTATGCTCTCCTATTGCGGCAGAGCAACAAGCGCGCGGAAACACACTGGAACAAGTCGACAAACACTCGTACGAGCCACTTGTAATCTCATATATTCAAACGTACGCTATTCTCCATCCGTAGGCCCACCCACACAAGAACAGCAGCAGCAGCAGTCGACAACGACGATGTTGATAATGATTATCATGATGACTTCGTTAACTGTCGTCGTCGACACACTCTCCGTACGTGCTGTACGCGGCACGACGCACGCGGACTGAAGCCGATATGCGAAACATTGTTTTGCTTATGCTTTAATTGTTTATTGACGAATGGCACAAAGCTGGTCACGATGCAACAGCATACCAGGATCATCAATAAAAATGTACTGGGACACAAGTATTTTTTGATGGCAACGAGGAGGCAATGTACAGAAAGTCGAATAAGTGAAACATGGTGACGTAACAAGTGGACTTGGAGTTGATTAAAGCTATGGACCGCTGGATGGTTAAGAAATTTTTATTTTATATGCAGTTGTTTATATATAAGTTATGTGCAGTCGTAGAAATGGTACCTATTATATTCAACAATTGTGATATTAAAAGTCGAACTTGATTGTATAATCTGAGAAAATAACCCGAAGAGATGAGATATAGGGTGTATGGCTTAGACAGATAGCGAAATTCCGCAGGCACTACTAGATACAACCAACGCGTTTCGACTTCACTTTTCGACAACTATTTGCTTAAAAGTTCAAAAAAACTTTTATTTTTTTATCACACTTTTAGAAGAATATCCTTATGTGCCAGCTTGATCTATTGTAGAAGAGATGTGCTCTTATCCCTGTTGTGCGGTAATGAAAACAATCGCCAATTTTCCTGCTATTGCTCAGCTGCGTCGTTGCCTCAACTTCGCCACGTAAATATATAATTCACATTTTCCGTAGGTACTTACCTAGCATTTTGCTGAGATCGGCGTTATGTAGATCCGGATTTTCGTCGGCAAGTCTCTTGCGTTCAACCTTGGCCCACACCATAAACGCGTTCATGGGTCGGCGGATTCGGGTTTCGGTCGCGCGTTTGCCTCCGGCCCCCCCACCAGGCCCCAGCGCACCCTGGTGAACGACAGCCATGTGTTGCTGCAGAGCTAACTGTTGCTGTTGAGGAAACTGCAGCTGGGTCGATAGGTGATCCTTGTCGAATACAAGCTCAGGCTGCGGTGGACAGCCTGTGGGCGCCTGTGAGGAAGGTGGCATCCCAAAGCTATCGGCGTACGCTTGTGCCTGACTCGCCAGTGAGGCAGGCGGCCACGGTTCGAATGGCGGGTGAGGAAACGAACTCACTGACGAAGGTGAGTCGGCTCCGCGCGACCCAGGTGATGAGGTATCTTGTATAGGGTCCATTCGTTGTGATGCCATGTTAAGCAAATCGTGATCCACTGTCTGATCGCTTGAGTAACTTTCCATGGCACTCTGGCTTCCACTGCGAGAGGAAAGCCCACACTATCTATCACCACTATTTTACTTATAAATGAAACAATTAGGAAGTTAATCGGCTGTAGATTGGGTCCGGTCGAATGTCGACCACTATTAAGTTTGTAGCCCGTATCAATAGCGGTGACGATTGCAGGTAGGATTAGTTCGCTAGGAACACATGCGATGCAGTTATATAAGTTTTTGTTATTTTGATTACTATTAGGCGATGCGTTGCGTCGTTCCAGTTACAACGACAAGTTCCATGTGTTTCTCGGCTATATAGGTATATATATATATATATATATATATATATTATCTATAGACATCTACGTATGCGTGAATACGTATTGCACCACTCGACACTTCATCACAATATCCGACACGTGAAAATGTATTGGCCAATCGAAGCTGTTGAAGCACCAGTCACAAACCTCGTTTCTCTCGTTGTGCTCCTCTGTCTGTCTTTATTGCACGGTAGGCAACGGTAACGACTTGAAGCTTCAGGCGGGATAAATAAGGCCGCGATTGGAGACCACAATATCGATTCTACTGCGAGTAGATGACAAAGACTGGCGTTGGTCTAGGTCCTTTTTATAAAAACACCATCTTTTGCACTTGAATGTTTGTTAAAGCTACTCCTGCTGTTGCAGGTATCACATTCTTTGTTTACCAATAACAAGCGCACACGCGCATACACCGTTCCCAGTTGACTCTGTGGTACTTCCTTGAACGCTGTACCTGCTATTGTTTAAAGCGTTGATACTTTGGCTGATGATCACCTTAGCAATGATAATGATTAGTATAGCGACGTGCCCCCACGCGACCATCACGACGAAGTCAGTCAAAGCCAGCGCATCCAAAACCTCTTCTATTTAAATCCGAGTAACGTTGCCAGCCTGCGAGTCAGGAAATCACCAGCTTCTTTCGTCGCCGACCCTGTTGTTGATCCTGCAGGTATTAGTTGAAACGTTGTCGCGACTGTTGTTATTGTTGGATAGCACTTTCGATTTTTCATTCAGAACTTTACATAGCACACTAAACCACCACCCGGTCAACCGGTTCTAGCCGCTACATTTTCGCTGCTTTTGCCTTATTGATCTCGCTGTCCTGCTACACTAGCCTGTCTAGCTTCAACTTTTCCAAACTTCTTAGTACTTATGGAAAACATTTACTTGTGTTGTCGTAGCGATGATAGCAGTTGCGACGGTGACGCTGAGTTCGGCGACAGTAGCTTTTCGTGCTTGTTAATGATCGTTGGCGGCAGAGATAACAGCGGCAGCCGATGAAAAAGCGCGCTCTCGCTCGACACACACCTGACGCCCGCCAGAACAGTTCTGCTAGGCAGCTCACTCCGGTGGCTGGTCCGAGGCGGCGCTTGTGTTCTTCTTCTCGCTGTCGCGTCTCTCCCGCGGCTGCTGCCGTCGCAGTCGAAGAATCGTCGACGGCGGCAGCGCTACTCTATAACCAACACAACCGCCGCCGCCGCCGCCGCAGGCGCTGCTGGCTTCGCCACAGCAGACGCATGTTCTACCGGCAGTTGCTGGTGCGCCTTGACGCCAGCGTTCGCCGTGGCGCCGCCAGCGGCAGCAGCCTGCACCTGACCCCGCCCCCGGGGCGCTCGCCGTTCGGCGCCCGGCGAACGCACGAGACACCAGTAAGCCAGTCACCCTCTTGCTGCTGTGTCGGTAAGGGCGAAACGCACCGGTGGCTATCGGATTGACCGACACACGGACCGGTGGACAACGACAACAGCAGCGGCCACGGCCGCAAGCCGCAGATGATAGAGGCAGGCAGGCAGGCAGGCAGACAGGCAGAAACAGGCAGGTAGACAGACAGGTCTCACCGTGGCCGTTCGTTCTACAGCCACCGCCGCTGGTATGAGTAGTAGCTGCTAGAGAGTCATCACACTCACGGCCAAAACACCGCCGGAACAAGCGCGCACAATAGCGGACACAGCGAACTACAGTTTTGCGTTAGATATCTATGTGGTACTTAGAATGGCGCAATGTCGACTCTTATCACGAGTACGGCCAACGTGTAAATGCAGAAGCAACTCTTCTACGAAAGCCGCAGGTTGGCAATTAGTCGTCGATATAATAACCATTAGCTACATATAGATGTGTAGTGGAATTCTATAATAGGTGGGTAGATGAATGGTCAGTAATTAATATATAGATACACAGCAACTGCCAAGAGGCAGCTCTAGCCGAGGGTACTGCTGCTGCTGCTGCTGCTACTGCAATGCAGGCAAGTGCACCATGTATGCCATAGATTAGAGCTATGGAGCGTATCGATGGTCAATGGGGAACGCTGACCGCTTCCCCTGAAGGCAACCGCTAAACTGTGTGGAAAATTGTACGATACAATACAAATCTATGGTGATATGTAATTAATGGTAAGAGTGGTCACGAGTGCACATTGCCATGCTGCACTAGTTGCCGTATTAGCTTTGTTATCATAGCATATTAGTGTTCCTATTCGATGGCCTGCGCGTCGTTTGATATCCTATCGAGACGTATGCGCACTGCCAACCGCCTCTAGTACCACTATATATCATAGCGTATTCGTGCACGAGTATAAAAAGAGGTCTAAAACAACAGATCCTTAAGGACGTTTCAAAAGGGTGTGACGTTGATGTGGTTCGTCTGGTTTTTAGGATAGTTCGGCCTGTCGATCTTTGGGCGTAGATGTCCGATTATGTATCGGTGCCATTTATTGGCCGACTGGATTCATCTATACATGCTAGGTTATCTGAAATCTCATTGAGTCTTTATCGATCCCCTCTGCCTCGAACACAACGAAAACCTGCTTCACTGTCGACTTCTCTTTGAGCCTGTTCGTTACAATGTTCATGACCAAATGAAACAGAATTTAAGTTAAAGTTATTCCACGTTCGGACTATGTACGTACCTGTTCGACTAACGACCACGAATCCGATGCGCGAAGTTTCGCTTTTCCAAATTCTCACAAACCGTCAGAGTTTGCTTGGCATCGCCGTAGCAGTAATCATAGGCCAAACAACAATTGCCGTCAGGAGTTGTGCCAGTAGCCTGGCTGGAAACAACTGTGGCACCAGAATTAGCCAAGAAACAGCATGATCGTTTTTGATTCGAATATCCAGTTTGACTCTACGCAAAAAAACATTATTAGTTCCAGATGACATTTCCAGTATAAAAAGCCGTACTATATTGTCTATGATATGAAGGCTTAAAAATTAAAAAATGCATAAAAACCTTGAGTGAATTTCTCATCATGACGAAAAAATTCAGCGAGAGATTAGAGTAGCCTATAGGTAGCAGAACAATAATTTCTTACTATTACCGGATACCTCTTAGGGGCCATTTAGTAGAAACAGCAATATAAGTTGGCACACACAAACAAGGTTATGCGCCGTCCAACTTGATCTTAGTCTAGAATGTGTTGACGAAAACTGCGGTACTAATCAGTTTCTCTTCCCGGAATTGCCATCAGGCGATATTTCATGAAGATTGTAAATAATCTGCCCTCGATTAATTCGACGGGTCTATTTATAGATTTCGTATAGTTCAGTACGTCCTATGTTTGTTTTATTGCGAGGTAACAATAAGGTCAGTACGGGCCGTTCTGAGGTCGCGTCTCTTACTTCTAGGAAATCCAGAAAACCTTTGATCTAACGGAACGCGCTTTAAGACAGAACTACAATTCGTCGTGTACTTTCTTTGAAAAAAGAAAAAGCATGTATATAACATTTTACTGAAAATTGCAAATGGTCAAAGTGAATGTGACGTGGTAATCATTGTGCATCACTATGGCGTAAAATTTGCACGATTCCTAAGTCGCTGTATCCTGGTTGTAGACGAAAACACATGTGCAATCATGTTTGTATCGAATGGATCCGGTGGGCTACTTTATGAGCAATAAACACGAACAGAAGGAAAATACAGGGGCTGCCTAAGAAATAGTGGGGTTTCCTTTCCTTTGCTACTATAGAAGAAGCCGTAGTAGTAGCGATACTCCCTTTGGCGATAGTCCAAATTGGCGCTGCAGATAGTCAGTGCATTAGTTATAGCTCAGCTTTCGAAAACTCCTTGCTTGATTTGGCAAGTGACCTCTTACGCTGCTCCAGGTTGAATATGCCGCGAGTTGACCCCCAACATCAACAGAAGCTAGTTGATACTTATAATGCTGCGGTACGAACTCCCTCATAGAACATACCGTCCTCAGCGTTTGGATAAACAAAAACCAAATACGAATAATAGTAGCAATCGTAGCTGCTGTCGCTGCGCCTACATACAAACGAAGGCACACACATCTTTCACGATATTGTCATCAGTGTGCTGATTCGCGCTGCTAATTAAACAATTCCAGGCGAAGACAGGAAATTGGCACGGGGGTTCACAGAATTCGCTAGAATTCTACTAGCTTTGATGTGCGCGCGTGTTCCTTTCCTCTCTTCTCGTGCTTTTATCCGCCTGCTTCCACAGAACCTTCTGTGTGCACGCCGTGCTATGGGAATATGTATGTATGGGGAGAGAGAGAGAGAGAGAGAGAGAGAGAGAGAGAGAAAGGGGGTAAGCCAGCTGTCTTCTTAGCGGTTTCTAGCGGCAAAATTTATAAACTGCGAACGACTAGGCAGAGCAGCAAGGTCCATCGCTGCCGCTGCTGCTGTGTTATGGGCGGTCCATAATTGTCAGAGCTGACCGATGCTACCACGAGGGAGAAGTTCCACAGCAAAAGATGCTGCTAGAGAGAAGAAATGATTATGAAGTAATGGAAATGGAAACAATACCAACGATGTACACAACACCAACAGCTGTTGTAAATGGCGAACAATTTGAAAAGCTAATACTGATGAAGCTATAGTGCTCTCAACCTCGTGGGCGAGTGTACTCAAGTGTCATGGAAATCTGCTAGAAGCTTGTTGCAACAAACATTACTTTTACTACTATTATTGATAGCTTGTCAAGTTGAACCAGGAAGCTGCGTGCAGCCATGTGTAATCCTAACGACTTATCGTACGTGTACAGGATGTTATGTCATACTGTCACAAGTAGAATTAGCGTGCAGTTCAATCACTCGTTTTTGGGCCATGACTGTTTCTTCTGGACCATGAAAAGTAGCCCATATTGATTAGATGACGACTTTTTACTCATGAGCGCTTGCACACCAGTAAAATAGTATATAGTGTTATAATGGCATCGAGTAATCCAGTAGCTAGCGTATTTGTTTTTGCTTGGCTTTTTTTTTGTCTTGTCGTCGCTATTGCTACAGCTGCTTTGGGCATGCGACACTGCTAGATGTATCATCTTTGTTTCACCTTTTCGAGGACTTCCACCTTTGAGCTGATAGCCGGTCGATATGTGGCGTTAAAAGAAGTGGTGCCTGTCACTATCACCAGTCGTTCATTGGAGAGAAATACTTTTCTGCTCTAGCATCGCCAGTACTGTGACTACTACGACGAGTCCTCACGATGACACGCCGATCGAAGCAGCGATATAGCAACGAAAAGCAGAGAGAAAACGAAAAGTAGAGCACTCCAGGTTGACGTTAGCGAGCGCGTTCGATTGGACTGCTAGAGAACGTGAGATACGAGCTTGGCTACTTATACAGGGCAATAGAATAAAAACAAGGTTGATTGTTAAGATTTTCAATTGAGATGATGCCGATTGTCGCCTCCGCGCGGAATGCTTTTGTGTAGCCGTCGATAATCTGGTGGGTGCCTGTAGGTGTCCGTGCGTGTGGACGTACGAATTGCAACAAAACTTCCGGTGCGTAAACGTCAGCCTGCCGTGATTCGCTCAGTCGGTTCTGATAATTATTAGTACATTTGTGATGGTGGATGGGAAAAGAAGAGTAACAGATCGAGCTCTTACAATCCATAAGGAAGAATTCGGATGATACTGCAGGTGGCGCGCATGTCATATCACTAATTAGCAACAGTACTGCCTGCCGTAAATGCACAGTGCGGGTAGTTTGAAATACGTAAACTGTTTGATGATATCATAATTTCAGCAAGTTCAAGTTGCAGGGGTATACGACAGTTGCCATCGGCGACCGTCTACCCAAATAGCCGCATGGCTGATACCAAACGTACAAGTTAGGCGTCCTTAAGCAATAGCATTTAGTTAGCGATATAACGGCAAACAAAATCTCGCCATTTGAGAATCGAGTTGCTACATTTTCAAGGGTTTGGTCTTTTCGAGAGTTGCCTTAAATTATTGTCACATTTCTCACAAACACGATACAAGCAGTGATGCCCGAAAAAGTCCATGTTTTTTTCCGTTAGAGATCTTATTGAACTGTTACTATTGGCTGCCTAAGCACCAAGCTGTAACAGGCGCTTTCAGATGCAAAATTCGCTGATCTTTGAGTTAGTTGTGTTTTTAACGTTTGTGCAGTTAAACTTGAACACTCTCCATATTCTGCGCTATGCGCTGATGATTTGCGTAGATTCCC